ATCTAAACTGACTCCTCTCTCACAGTAAATTGAGATGGAGATGTGAGAATACATTGACCTGACTCACTGCATATGAACGCCTCTAGCATTTCCTGCAGTAACTGAAAGATGAACGCCTCCTAACTGACTCACTGCAAGTAACTGAAGATGAACGCCTCTAGCACCGACTCACTGCAACTAACTGAGAAGATGAACGCCTCTAACTGACTCACTGCAACTCACTGCATATGAACGCCTCTAACTGACTCACTGCGTGTAGCTGGAGATAAGAGAAGGTACTTAAATTAATTACTAAAATTTCCACAGGTGCGACAGATAAACTCTCATACCCTAAAGGTAGAAGAGAAATTGTAAGATCCAATCCTTAAAGACAAACAGACAATCGAGCAGGTAGAGAAACAATCAGACAGACAGATGGACAGGTAAAAAGACAGATTGGCAGAGATAGACAAGTAGACAGGTAGGTAGACAGATATAAAGATCGATAAAAAGACAAATAGGAAGAAAAATCGATAGACAAAGAGACAGGTAAACAAAGTGACAAACAATGAGACAGGTAAACAGATTGACAGACAGAGACAGGTAAACAGATTGACAGACACCCAAACAGCACGGGTCATGAGAAGTAAAGGTGATTTATAGAAGGAAGATCAGATATTAGTCTGTCAAAGAGAAGTCTCCTAATTACATAATATTTCTCTCTCTGTCTCAACACGGTAAATTAATTAACGTAAGAGGGATAGGTGTATATTTTTTAAGTGTATTTTCTCACACACACACACACACACACACACACACACACACACACACACACACACACACACACACACACACACACACACACACACACACACACACACACACACACACACACACACACACACACTCTCTCTCACCACCTCAAAGTTTGGTGATTAAACTCTACGGGTCAGTAAGTCAGCAACTCTAGGAGCCTCTTTTTCTTGAACGGAGACGAAGGCTTTTTTGTTGCCCTTTTCCTCTCCCCCCTCTTTCCCTCCGCCCTCTTTCCCTCCGCCCTCTTTCCCTCTCCCCCCTCTTTCCCTCCCCCCTCTTTCCCTCTCCCCCCTCTTTCCCTCTCCCCCCTCTTTCCTTCCGCCCTCATCCCAACTCCTTCTCCACCCGTCCCCTTCCCTCTCAACCACGACCCCTTTCCCTCCTCTGCCCTCATCCTTTCCCTCCTCTGCCCTCATCCTTCCCGTGTTGCGTCACTGATTGCCTCCTCAGGGCGTTAAGGGTCTGGTAAGTCTTAAGGATTTGTTATTAAGATCTTCAGGGGTATGAGGGTACCTGCCCCTTGTTTATTGGATGTATTTATTATTATTATGATGTAGTAGTAGTAGTAGTACTAAGGGTCATTTGTCTTTCTTTGAACTTATTGGTAAAAAAAATATTAAGAGCTCTGCAATAAGTGCCAGTGTTATTATCATTATACAACCAACACCACTACAGCTTCAAGTATTTAATTGCCCCCTCCCTCCCTCCTTCACTACCCCCCTCCCTCCCTCCTTCACTACCCCCTCCCCCCCTCCTTCACTACCCCCCTCCCCCTCCTTCACTACCCCCCTCCAGCCTCCTGCCCCTCCCTCCTTCTCCTACCCCTCCTTCACTACCCCCCTCCCCCTCCTTCACTACCCCCTCCTCCCTCCTTCACTACCCCCTCCCCCTCCTTCACTACCCCTCCTTCTCCCCCCTCCCCCTCCTTCACTACCCCTCCCCTTCCTTCACTACCCCTCCCCCCTCCTTCACTACCTCCCTCCCCCCTCCTTCACTACCCCTCCCTCCCTCCTTCCCCTCCCCACATCTTCCTACCCCCCCTCCTCCCTCCTTCACTACCCCCCTCCCTCCCTCCTTCACTACCCCCTCCCCCCTCCTTCACCTGCCCCCCACTCCCCCTCCTTCACTACTCCCCTCTCACCCTCCTTCACCTCCTCCCTACACTCCTTCCACTGCCCCCCCTCCCTCAGCTACTACCCCCCCTCCCTTCCTCCTCCCCCCTCCCCTTCCTTCCCTTACCCCTCCCCCCCTCCTTCACTACCCCCCTCCCCCTCTCACTACCCCTCTCCCTCCTCATGTAAGGGTTAACGGGACACTGAGATAGACTGAGGCTCTCGTTGGTGGACTACAAGTGTGAGGTCGTGTTTGACAAGAGATTTCCCAGACGTGTAAATCTTGGCAGTCATTTTGTTTTTTCTATTTTAAGTGTCTGCAATCTGGATTTTTTTTTCTATTCACTTTGTCTGTTTGTCTGTCTGCCTGTGTTTCTGTCTCTGTCTGCCTTTTTGTTTATGTCTACCTACATCTCTGTGTGTCTGCCTGTCTTTCTGTCTCTTTCGCGTTGGATCTTTTAGGTTTATTATTTGAAGTCGTTATCTCTATAAGAAAAAACAAAATTATTATGACAAGAAACTCAAAATAAGGACTCGATCTGTCAAATTTAACCTAAAAATAATATAATTTACATTGTGATTATATAAATTCAAATCCCGTGAATGTATTTGAGTCATTTAGTGTTCGTGAATAATTTGTTCTTCATTTTTAATTTCATCAGAATTATCCTATGTTATTTTTTTTTTTTTTTGAAACAAACGAAAAACAAATTAACCCCCTATTCTAAATTCGCCACATGAGTTCCAGCAAATATAAACATTTACCATTTGTTTAAATGAACAAAAGATTAATTCAGAAAAAAAAGAATTATTTATCTCCCAATGTTTCAACCTTGTCTTGATTCATAACCTCCCATCTTATATCATGACTGGAGGCGTCCGGACCTACGGAAAAAATTATTCGCTTCTTCCGTACATAAGTCAGTTTATATAACAGATATTTCTTGGTTTCTTTTCCTAGGTCGGGCAAAATCAACGAGATATGAACACTCTACTGAGTTACATCGGAAGGAGAGAGAGAGAGAGAGAGAGAGAGATTTAATTCTAGAAATAACATTCTAATAGGAGCCTTAAATTGAGAAAAGAAAACGTAATCAATTGGTGTTGAATAATAGAAAATTCATTACTATTTTGTTCATAGAAGTTTAATGAGCACAGGAGACAACAGAGAGACACGGAGAGACACAAAGAGGTAATAGAGAGACACAGGGAGACTTAATGAGACAACAGACACAGGGAGACTTAATGAGACAACAGACACAGGGAGACTTAATGAGACAACAGACACAGGGAGACTTAATGAGACAACAGAGACACAGGGAGACACAGGAAACATATAGAGACAACAGGGATACAGAGAGACACAGGGGAGACAGAGATAGCGGAGGTGAAGGAAGGAAGAGACACGACAATAAAAGTTGTGTGTGTGTGTGTGTCAATTCTGCTGCAGGAAATGGTTGAGCTGAGCATTGATATTGGGAGCTAGAGAGATATAAGCTCTCTCTCTCTCTCTCTCTCTCTCTCTCTCTCTCTCTCTCTCTCTCTCTCTCTCTCTGTTTCTTTTTCCTGATATCACTTTCTCTCTTTCTTTTTATCTTTCTGTTTCTCCGTCCGCCCGTCATTCCTTCTCTACTTTCGCTTATCCTTCCTTCATTCTCTCCATTCAACTATCCCTCAGCCTCACCATCCTTCCTTCCTTCTCTCCATCCACCTATCCCTCACTCTTCCTTCTCTCCATCCACCAGTCCCAGAGTCACAACAAGTTCACAAGTTTTCGGGTCGAGTGAAGAAGTTTGAAGTCGCCTCACTTACTACACCAACAAACTCAAATTCACCTCAAAACTTAATGCCACAATCCCCAGGTGGTCGAACTAGCAACACCTGATCCAGTTGGTTTTATGACGACTTTTCCACCTGCCTATACTGATCCCAACTGGCTACACCCATTTCAGCTGGTTTATGAGTGTTTATTTAGCTGGTTACACTATTCCTAGCTGGTTTATGGAGGTTTATTCAGCTGAGTAAACTGATATCCAGCTGGTTTACTTAGGTGTATCCAGAGGGCTACACTGATCTTAGGGTTTATCTGGCCGGGTATAATAATATCATCTTATCAATATTATGGTTCGATCTAACAAACAATAACCTCCTCCCCCCCCCCCATACACACAATCAAACAAGACAAACAAAGAAACACAAAAGCAACACTCCAATATACACAAACAAATAGAAGCCTATCAACCACGTGCAACACACAAACAACCATGAGCCAGACTACGAGACAAACAAACCGACGCGTTAATCCACAACACAACCCGGACAACAACACGGGGGATAATAACTCCGGGTTGGGAAGTGTCTCATGGACGGTGAGCAATGGTCGCAAGGGACATTAATTTGCATAATTGGCTAATTATTCCCTTAATTATCTCTTTAATTATGTACATAGCAAGGAATCACAGACATGTGTGTTAGAGAGAGAGAGAGAGAGAGATGGCTAGATGGATAGAAGTCAAGCTTAAAAAAAAAATAGGGGAATTGAGATACATAGACTAAAAATAGAAGAAGAAAATGAGACGTGAACTCAAGACACAAAATGATGAAGTAAAAAATAACCTACTTCCTGGAATTTAAGGTCACTACGTCACCATATGTCACGTGACTCTGCAACGTATAAAACTACTTCGCTGTCTTTTTCACGCTGTACATAAAACTAAGGAAGTATTTTATTGGTAAGTGCGATAAATCCGCTTTTATTTTCTCTAGCGAAGAGCAGGAACAAAGCGCCACAGTAATTTAGAAATAATTACAGTGTTGTGAGTCGTGAGGTAAATCATGGGAGCGCGTATTAGTGTCTCCTCGCTATTGTATCGCTGACACCCACGTGGAGACAATAATATCATAATTACGACACAGTATTAATATACGAGGTAAAAACACACACACACATTATGACACAAGGAGGTGACACGACAGAAGAGGTCACCTTGAGGGTACGTACTGTCTTTCTCTACCTGGGATAAAGTACTTCCTGGCCAGCTTCCCGTCCCCCGACAGTTATAAACTAGGGTATACGATGAGCTCCTTACACTCATGTTCACAGAAGCCCTAAATCTCTGCCTGAATGACTCACAATGGGAACGATCATGGTTGCCGGTCCATCTTGGAGGAGTGGGTCTCCTCAAGGCTTCCCAAATAGAATTTCCAACATCTTCCAGCGCAGCATACAAAGAACTGTTAATGAAGATCTTCCGAGGACGTCTCATTACTGCTGCAGGAGTGCACGTGCCAAGTTTAGTAGAGGCACAGAGGCAGCCACCCTGTGGGTTGCTTTCATAACCCAGGCAGGTGACACAGAAGCCCACTTGAACAAGTCCATTATGGAGACAATTCTCTCAGCCATGACCGCGGAAGAGCATCAGTATCTGACACACACACACACAGAGACTTTGTGTAGGGGACTTCCTACTGGCCTTCGCGATCTTCTCCTCAGTCCATACACCACAGTGATGAGGCAGCCCCTCAATATATCTACACAGACTGCCAATGCGTCTATAGTAAAGCATGAACAGACCAACACGTTGTAAACAATATGTCCTCTGGAGATGACATATAAGACTTAATGAAGTCAGTGACTTCATCAGAAGGAAGCCTGGCCACCAGTCGCTCTCCAGCACACAGGAAACCCGACAACTTCAAGACCCAAAAGACCTGACAGTCGCCAAATAGGATCTCAACGTTGCCTTTGAAGACGAACAATTAACGGGTATACTCTGTCGCCCTGCCACCTTATACAGCAACACGGAAGGTGTGGGAAGCTTCAAGACTGTGAGGCAGAGAGAAGGACTTAGGTCTTGTGCAATGTTGTGTCACACAATGTTGAGAGAGTATTTAGTCCCGGAGGTGACACATCCCTGGATATCTGTAATGATCTGGTCTTTAAACTCACGGTAGCCTCGAGGGACTCCAGCGCCTTCACCTACAGTACTGTAGCTACACTTCAGGGTAGAGACCAGGAAGGTAATGCGTCTACACACAGGCTGCGAATCTCGTGCAAGTAGCTCAAGCAAGTCCTCGAAGTGCGATGATTTTTTTTGTGCGTGTGTGTGTGAGGACATTATTGTGTTAGTCTTGTTTCTTGCAAAATCATGAACTATAATTAAAATGACCCCTGGAAGATAACACAAGCGATGGCGGGAGATCACAACCAAGAGTAGTCAAGGAAAATTATCTTAATTTTCCCTGAACGATCTTTGTTCTCTTCTCTAAAGTTCTCCTGAACCTAATTAATTTAAATATATATATATATATATATATATATATATATATATATATATATATATATATATATATATATATATACATATATATACTGTGTGTGTGTACTATAATAATAACCAGCAGGATGTTGCAATATAAGGAAGGTGACCTGATCATCTGCCCACGTCAAGGATCAGTGACGGTAACTTGGTTCACTAGTCAAACAAAATCCTCTTTGACACACTTGTATTACCTCCTCCTAAATCACTTTTTATTATCTACAGCAAAACAACTCGGAAGGGAACTCTAGGATGTAATATACTTTTTTTTTCTCTCTCTCTCTGAACGAAATCCAAAATCAATCATAAAAAACATATAACGTGAACCTCCGATCTCTCTCTCCGTCTGCCTCCCCTTATCTTTATCTCTCAGTCTCTCCGTCTCTCAGTCTCTCCATCTTTCCGACTCCCCGTCTCTTTCTCTCGTCTGTCTGTCTCATCAGCCCTCGCGGATATTGTTCAGCATCGTCCCAAGAGCCAGGAGTCCGTACAGGATGAATTGGCCGCGGAGACTGCTAGTCCTTATTATGGTCTCTCTCTCTCTCTCTCTCTCTCTCTCTCTCTCTCTCTCTCTCTCTCTCTCTCTCTCTTTCTCTCTCTCTCTCTCTCTCTCTCTCTCTCTCTCTCTCTCTCTCTCTCTCTCTCCTCTCTCTCCTTCCTCTTCCCTCTCCCTCACACACACACAGTTGTAGGTACAGGTCTTGGCCGGTGACAGGAGGACAAAACCGACATGTCCCTTTCCTATAAATATCGACACAGTGATTTCCCCGACCATCGTAAAATTGGCCCTGAGAGCCCGGGGGTGGCAGGGTCTGGATGGGGGAATGAGTGGGTGTCGGGGGATATGGGATGGGTAGGGAGATGTCGGGATAGAGTGTCGGGGGGATAGGGGGTGTCGGGGGATAGGGGGTGTCGGGGGATAGGGGGTGTCAGGGGGTCAGTCACTGGCTCCAAAGACGGTGAACCACACAAATGATGGTCAAGGACTTTGTATTTTAAAGAGGAAACATCTCTCTAGTCCTGGGAGATAGTTTGTATGTTTATTTTAAAGTCTCTCACTCTCTCTCTCTCTCTCTCTCTTTGTTAGTCTATCTTTACTCTATGTGTTTTTCATTATTTCTGTGCATTCATCTCACTTTATCTCTCTTTTAATATTTTTTCAATGAGTCTCAGTCTCTCTTTCTCTGGGTTCTTACAACTATCTGTGTAATACTCTTTTCTGTCTCTTTTTAGTCTCTATACTTGACGTCTCTTTCATTTTCTATTTTTCTCTTTATCATGACAAATCTTATCCTATTTCTCTGACTACCTCATTATGTCCCTGTCTGTCTGTCTGTCTCTCAGTGGGTGAATTAACTAGCGAGACTATAACTACATTCTAGGCTTCACCTTTTCTCTCTATCTCCATCTCTTTCTTTCTCTCTATTAATATCTCTCTTACTGTATCGATTTCTCACTTTAATTCTACCTCTATCTCTCAATGTATTTATGTATCATTCTTTAATTCTCTCTCTAACTCTGTACCTTTCTTCACTTCTCTGTCTCTCATTATCTCTGTCAGTGGACGGGATAAGTCTTGGCTACCGGCACCGTCATCCTTAACAAAACACCAATGGTCACTTCTTATTGTCACTACCGTCTTCTCTCTCTCTCTCTCTCTCTCTCTCTCTCTCTCTCTCTCTCTCTCTCTCTCTCTCTCTCTCTTTCCATTTCTGTTTGTGGCTATCTTTGTTTTCCTAGTTTTTTCTCTCCCTTTATCGTGGTATGCCCATCTCCTTTTCATTTTCCTTGTCTCGGTTCCCTTTTCTCTCATCCCACCTGTCTAAGCTTGTCCGTCTGCCTGTCTGTCTGTCTGTCTCACACACACAAGGCCTGCTCGTAACGATAACTATATACCTCAAGCGACGACACAGCTCTCAACCAGTGTTTACTAACTTGTCTCCAGTTGTAAAATATCGTGGTAGTGGTGGTGAAAGTGGTGTGTATGTTAGTTTTATGTGCATGTGATATATGTATGTGCGTAGATATAGGTGTGTATGTGTATTTATGTATGTGTGAAGATATGTGAGTGTAAGTATGTACTGTATGTATGTTGGGTCATTTCAACCTGTCATATTACCTGTTAACTGTTAATTTATTCCATTGTCACCTCAGGAACCCTACAGGTATGATTACATTCGCTCAGGTTAATTAACAATCTGTAGTTCTGCCTCAATGACTGTGTATTCCCAGCGGCGAATCGTCAATCAACACCAGGCCAGTTAGTACCTAAGTGTATAACCTTGTTCTATTCCGGGTTAATCTAACTTCAATGACGTCACACACACACACACACACACACACACACACAAATAGAACCCCAACAAGTGTGACCATTCAGAATATTGAAGCCCTTAAGGTGTAAATGCAAGGTCGTATCCTCAAATGTTCGACTATTAATTTTCCCAAACAATAACAATAAAAAAAAACACAGAAAATTTATAGTCTCAGAATAGTTGTGGTGTGTGTGAGTGTGTGTGTATATGTGTGTGTATGTGTGTGTGTGTGTGTGTGTGTGTGTGTGTGTGTGTGTGTGTGTGTGTGTGTGTGTGTGTGTGTGTGTGTGTGTGTGTGTGTGTGTATGTGTGTGTATGTGTGTGTGTGTGTGTGTGTGTATGTGTGTGTGTGTGTGTGTGTGTGTGTGTGTGTATGTGTGTGTGTGTGTGTGTGTGTGTGTGTGTGTGTGTGTGTGTGTGTGTGTGTGTGTGTGTGTGTGTGTGTGTGTGTGTGTGTGCGTGCGCTATTGAAATGATTTACTGAGTTAATATATCAAAGAGAAGAATTAATGTACTAAATTTGAGGAATGAAGATACAATTACCTGGAAATACAACAACTTATCCCTACAATAACCTAAGAATACAACCTTATAAAAATACAATAACCTACAGTAAATCTGATACTACAGGGAATACAAAGATAAAAATGAGAACTACAGTGGCATTAACATCAACAGAGAGTGTGTAGAGCGAGTGAAGTGAGAGAGTGAGTGTGTAGAGCGAGTGAAGTGAGAGAGTGAGTGTGTAGAGCGAGTGAAGTGAGAGTGATTGTGTAGAGCGAGTGAAGTGAGAGAGTGATTGTGTAGAGAGAGTGAAGCAAGAGAGCGAGTGAAGTGAGAGAGTGATTGTGTAGAGCGAGCGAAGTGAGAGAGTGAGTGTGTAGAGCGAGTGAAGTGAGAGAGAGTGAGTGTGTAGAGAGAGTGAAGCGAGAGTGATTGAGTGTGTAAAGCGAGTGAAGTGAGAAAGTAACACTAGGTGGGCGAGCCATAAAATCAGGAGACGAATCACCCCCCACTTTCTGCCTTACAGTTTCCAGGCCAACAGAGGCGCTTGTGATAAAAATGTTGATGGATGAGCCAGAGGATTGTTCTTTTTTTTTCCCTCTTTTTCTTTGTAAGTTCTCAATTTCACCCCAGTCGGAATTTACTGAAGTGAAGAGAAAAGGTAATGGAAGAAGTGGCAAAACTTTTATTAATTTGTATTTTGGGTGTTTATCTATCTATCTCTAACTATTTTTCTTGCTGTCTCTCTTGAAGGACGAAAAAATAATAGAGAACAATAAGAAAACTTGATAATGTATCCCAACGCTTCTCTCTCTCTCTCTCTCTCTCTCTCTCTCTCTCTCTCTCTCTCTCTCTCTCTCTCTCTCTCTCTCTCTGTCTCTCTCTCTCTGCCCTGGTAATTGTCGTTCTATGAATTTGTCATTTTTATAGTACGTAATTTTGGGAAAGTGTCATCAATCCTTTAGAAGAATATTTTATAGACATTTTTAAAACATTTTATTATATAGTAAAGAAATTGACTGTGTTAGCTGTACCTGAAAGACCTTAGGCCGCAATACAAACTTTACGAATTAGAACAACAATACCAACTTACCAGATTCGATACAGGAGTTACAATTAAGTTGAGGGGTAGAGTTACTGACACCAAGGTAGGACGATCGGATCCCATCAGAATACCACCTGCAGGCAGAAAAAAGGTTCAGCGTAAATTAAAATAAGGTTCAGAGTAGTCAGCGTAGAGTTATTGAATGTACTGAAGATGTGTTATCAAATTACCTAATCCAATATAAAACCTTTACTACTAGTTCTTATTCTACTGCTGACATTAAATTATTCTTAACATTCATTGTCATATTTTCCACACACACACCGCTTCTCCCTGAATGTCTATCCTTCACCCCATACTTTTATCTCCTTCCTCTATCCCCCATCCCTTCTTCTCTCCTTCCTAGCATCCTCCTGTGAATCACTAGAACCTATTTTCTCAATAAGTCCAATGCTACTTCAAGAAACGCTAATTAAATCTCAGCATCTCAGCCCGACACTTTTCCTTCCCTCTTACATCTTCACCGACTATCTGCATTTCTTAGTCTCAGTATTCTATTCACCCTCACACACCGCTCTCAACCACGTCGTTTCTGTCGATTCTAATTTGTGTCCTCCTCTTGCAGCCGAGGCCCGTGCTTTACACCCACACGGTAATGTCGACCCAGTCTGCTTTTGTATTTACATATTCATCTTTTTATTCGTTATTCTGTGTGTGTTTTTGTTTTCCTCCGTCTATAGTTTGGTTATTAAATAGTTGCTTGTGTGTGGCGTTGTGGCTATGAACACCTCCTCAGAACATGATGTATTTGTGAGATTAATTTTGTATGTCTGTCTCTCCTTCCCTTCCTTCTTCCTCCCCCTATCTCTCCACCCCCCTCTCTGTTTCTTTCTTCCCCCTCTCTCTCTGTTTCTTCCTTTCTCCCCCCCCCCCTCTCTCTCGTTCCTATCCCCTACAGAGGCTGGTGAAGGGAGGTGGTCTACTGTATTGCACCTGAACCACTACCACGGTAGCTGATCCCGTGTGTTTATCTCTCTCGACTCCCGGTAGAGCTTGGTGGAGAGGCGTCCTGCTGTGTCTCAACTATAACACAGTCACAGCAATTGATTTTGTACCTCTCTCGTGCTCCCCCTTACACACAGAGCCAGAGAGAAGTGTTCCACCACTGTATATATCACTTGTAACACACCCACAGCAATTGATTTTGTATTTCTCTCTCTCTCCCTTACAGAGCCTGGTGGAGGGGTGTCCTGCTGTCTCGCACATCTCTCGCAGTCAGAGCAGCTGTAGTGCAGACACCTGTCGTCACGACCCCTCGACCGTGTACACACAGCTCTCCTACCTAGACTCTCCACGGTCCAATTCCTCTAACGGGTTCGCTACGAGACGGAAAGGTGAGGTAGGCGCAGGTGACTCAGTTTATGAGAATCTCTGTCTGTCTGTCTGTCTGTCTCTCTTTCTGTCTACCCCTCTCTTTCTCTCTCTCTATCTGTATGTGTCTGTCTCTCTATCTGTCTGTGTTCCTCTTTCCGTATGTGTAGCTCTGTGACGCTGTCTGTCTTTATGACTCTACTTTCTGTGTGTTACTCTTCTCTATTCCTCTCTGCCTCTCTCTATGTAAGTGTTATTCTCTCTTTCTCTCCCTCTTTCTGTACTTGTGACTTTGTGACTTTTTGTCTGTCTTTCTTTCTCTACGTATGACTCACTTTGCACCCCCCCCTCTCTCTCTCTCTCTCTCTGTCACTCTATCACCTTCTGTGCGTGGGTGTGACTCACTATCTCTCTCTATCTACGTATTATTCCTTCTCTCTCTCTCTCTCTCTCTCTCTCTCTCTCTCTCTCTCTCTCTCTCTCTATTTGCATTTTTTGTGTTATACCATTCACGAAATTTTCTATGTGTGTGTGTGTGTGTGTGAGAGAAAAAATCGCTTGCTCTTGAAATCTGTAAGAGAAATCGTACGCAGTTCCCAAGGATAAAAGTGACAGATTTACACACCGCTACTAATTGTTTATCACCAGGAGGGAGTGTTTTCGTAGCTCCATCCTCTATTGCAACCAGATTAGAAAAGTAACTTGTGGATCTCTTTCTGTCCTCCTAAATACGCGACCAAATACAATTACTGCGTTTTATTAGTCTCCCCTTGACACACTGAACGACGCAAAAAAAAAATAAATAAAAGATTTTAAGTCAATTTATCTCCTCGTAAACACTGGGTAGTTAAATGGTGACTCGATCAACTTACTCCACTTTATGCTAACTCAATGTACGATAACTAGCAACGTAGTTATAAGAGAAACAAAAAAAAATATATTAGTTTTTCTCTCCTAGTTGACAAATAGTCCAAGTTTGTATAATTCCTTCTAGTAATTCTTGGGTACGAAGGTGTGAACAAAAATCACCGGAGAAAAAATCCCGCTTGACATAGAAAGTTTGCCTGAGAGTTTGGCACCATTGAGAGATATTATTCAGGAAGCAGCTGGGGGAAGGGAGGGGCGGGGAAGGGTGGAATCTGGGGAGGGAAGGAGGAAGAGGAGGCTGGTAGGTAGGCTGGGGAAGGGAAGAAGGAGGGAGGAAGTGAGGAAGAGGAAGGGGTGGGGTCTGGGGGAAGGAAAGAATCGAGAGAGAGGAGGGAGGAGGAGGAGGAGGATGGGGAGGGAGGGATGAGGGAGGGAGGAAGCTGGGGGGAGGGAGGGGAGGCTAGGGGAGAAGGAAGTTGGGGAGGGAGGGAGGGAGGGAGGGAGGTATGTCTCAGAATATACCAAGGATCAGGACGAAGGAATAAAACAACTTTTGCTCAGTTGAAGCAAAAACTTGAACTCTGGTTTATTATGTGAGTAAATGTCAAGACGAATGACTGAAAAAAACTAAAAGCAAACGGAAAAAATGTGGGTTGAAAAAAAAAATCTTAAAAATACCCGGTGTCTTGAGGGAATAAATTTAAAGACGAATCGATATATATTTTTTTTTTGTCAATAAAAATCTCTAGTAGGTAGTAAAAGATATCACGTGCGTTCCTTAATATTTTCCTTGGATATGTTAAAGACGAACAGCTGACAACCAGGAAGACAATGATGAAAATGATAATTGTGTTGGCTTGAAATAGAGTCTTAGAACAGCTTTCCTCCTCAAGAACTATACGAATGAGTGAAAATGTACTGTTCAATAAAAGCACAATAAATTGAAACGAAACAACAATAGAACAGCCTTTTTTTCCTTTACGTGTCTCGTTACGTGTTTTAACTGTCAGGGTTATTCTCAACCACTCGACTCTGATCCACTGTCTAGTTAGAAGAAAAGGAAATTACGAGACGAACGACTGAGACTTTGGGAAGAAGAAGGAAATGCCTCGAGTTGCATCAGACTGTGCAAGATAATGATTTTCTCGACGGATTCAATTCAAGACGACACGAGTCAAAATCCCAAATAAAACTAAACATTTGATTGATTTAAAAAAGGATGAAAAAAATTTGGCTACTTCAGTGACGTAGATTAAGTTTGATGAAGAAATTGAAACTCTCTAATTGAACCAACCTATTGAACGAAGCTGACTGGAACAAATACTTCCAATTAAAGACAAAATTGATTAAAACAAATCGAAAACTAAACCAAATATTTGATTGGCTGGTACACCTAAAAAAAAAAAAAAAAAAAACTGGACTCGTTCGGTGATGTGGACACAATTTCAACTCCCAGCTAATGAAGATGAAGATAAAAACTTCGTTGGGTTGAAACAGACTACCAGATGGGCTCGGCTTGTGTGCTGGCCGACCTGAACTCCGACACGACACGGGGAAAATAAATGTTTCGACATCAGGCAACAAAGAAAATGGTTCTGAGACGAAGATTTACAGACGAAGAATGTTTGGGGAGTCTTATGGCCCGGTAAATTATTGGTGGGTGGGCCAGTAGCCAGGTGTGTGTGTGTGTGCGTGTGTGTGTGTGTGTGTGTGTGTGTGTGTGTGTGTGTGTGTGTGTGTGTGTGTGTGTGTGTGCGTGGAGAGAGAGAGAGACCTGCAGAAACCACTCACAAAATGTACACCTCACCTTAGATAGACCAATGTGTGGACTCTTCCTGTGTGTTGTTGTCCACGTCTAGGATCTAATGTCATTGTACTTAGTCCCAAGAGTGTGATTGCAGTAACAACTTGAGTGTAAGTTTAATGGCCACCCTGGGTATTCCCTCAAGGATAATATTACATTGTTTGTCTTGTTTGTTGTAGCTGTTTGTGTACACTGAGAGACCCGATTCGAGAGTAGTAGTTTGAGTGCATGTTAGGAGGTTGTATTCTTTTGTACTCTTTATTCACTCGAGGATGAGATTATCGCTTTGACAATACCTCCAACTATAACCAGAGTGAAGGTAAAAAAATCACTCCAGCAATAGAGCGTAGATTAAAAATGTCCGAGCTCTGTATTCACTCAGGATAAGATTACGTTATTCTCGGTGAGGAGCAACACAGTGAGTCAGTGTATCATGGTGGTGTCGTGGTAAAATATTATACCTCGCTACCGGGGACTACAGGGTATACTACCAGCCTTCACTCTTACTGTCGTCTGAGCTGAGGAACTCTCTCTCTCTCTCTCTCTCTCTCTCTCTCTCTCTCTCTCTTTGTCTCTCACACTGTTTCTGTCTCTCACTCACTCTTCCTGCCAGCCTCCCACACTACAGGACCATCTGGCTCTCTGCCGATCTACCACCACTCTGAAATTCTTGAGTGGCGGTGTCAACTCTTTCTAATACCACCTTTTGTGACCCGTGACCCGTAATTCGTGATCCGTAACCTCTGACCGTGATAACCTAACTTAACCAAACCTTATAACCTAATTTAACCAAACCTAACATAATGTAAACTAACGCAATGTAATCCAACCAAACCCAACTTAATCTAACGTAACCTAACCTGGTCAGTTTACTACGAGTTGTTTCTCCCCAGGAACTCATAGATAACTCGTACCCAAACGCCAATTCTCAAAGATTCTCACCTTAAGTTTCTCTCTTAACTGGAGGCTTGTGTTATCCATCTTCTTTAAGTTACGCCACGAGATAAATTATCAAAAGGTTCGTTCGTTGAATTTTTCACTCTGCTGGTTATGTGAGAACGGGTCCAACTGGCTCACGTAGGTTAAGGCACGAAAATGACGGCCAAAATCACTATGTCTGACTTAGCTATATGAGGCGTTGTTCCTCAATGGATGAATCTATAATAAATTGTCTAAAGTATATTCTCAAAAGATTGCACTGGGTTTCTTTTGTAACTAGATGCTACGTTTTCCTGAATAGACAAATCCATGAAAATCAGTCAAAAGAGGAATTCTAAAACGATAGCAGCGAAGCTCTCTCGTGGCTAGATAGTCCGCTTCCCTGACTGAACGAATCAATGATAAATTCATCAAAGGATAAATTCTCAAGAGATTGAAACGTGAAAAATTATTCCATCTTACTGGAGACGTCAGAAGGTATCCAACTGGTTCACCTTAGGATCAGATGCTGTTATTGATTCCCCTCAGGGAGAGAAAGGTGAAATTATTATTATTATTATTATTATTATTATTATTATTATTATTATTATTATTATTGTTGTTGTTGTTGTTGTTATTCGTCTCTGAGGATGTAAAGGACACATTACCCCTGGCTAACTCTTATGATACACCTTTAGCAATAAACTATGATGAGAGAGAGAGAGAGAGCAAAACAAGATCCTGCACTCACTACCACAACAACATCATCACTCGCTAGGCTACACTCATCGTTTATCCTGTCGTTCCAGTGATTTGAAACAAGCTTGGCATTTATCTCTTCTTTTCCCTCCCCTTTTCTCTTTCACATTCTTTTATTCAAGTCTCTATCTCTCTCTTGTTTCTATATTTATCTTTCTCTCGTTTCTCTCCCTTTTTCTCTTCTCCTCTCTTTCTCTCTTTCTTTCTTTCTATATCTCAACGGGTTCTTAATCTGATTCTCAACACCTCGTCTTACAAACAACAGATCGTGTACACAACAAGAACATGTGTGTGTGTGTGTGTGTGTGTGTGTGTGTGGTCAGCGCTCGACACAGACTATTAATTTCGTGGTTGCTGAGAGTACTGTCGCCTGTCTGTTGTTGGGTCCTACGAGAGAGAGAGAGAGAGAGAGAGAGTATTTTATATACAATTAATAACGCCAGACTGACTATTATTTTCGTGTTATTGTTGGTACTTTTCCCTAGATACGTAAAACTCTAGAAAAATTGTCGCATCACCTGAAGTTTAGTTCCCCTAGTTTACTTCACCTGATGATTAATTACCCTAAAGCTACCTGGGGATGTCAGGTTAAGTTAGGTTAGGTTAGGTTAGCTTTGGGGTCGGGTTAGGTTAGGTAAACGTCAGAGTGGCTAATCAGGTGGAATAAACTGGCCGGGATAATCTTCAGGTGCTCTGATTTGTCTCCCATGGACAAGGTATAAACTCAATAACCGAATGTGGTAAAAATCGTCAAAAAGTGGGTCTTAGGCGAGATATATTATGATATAATTGTGGAAAATAAGAAGAGCTCCTCCACACCTGCCATTCGTCTTGTGGGGTAAAGCCTAATACTGGACAGTTTTGAAAGATAACCATTTATGTTACGTTTCTGGAGAGATTGAAGAAAACTGAGTCAGAAATTCGTAAAAGGTTGGAAACATGAAATTTTATGGAAGAATTAACAGCCAGTTGGATGGGAGATTGACGATCGTAGGAAGATGAAATAGATTTACAAAGTGAAGAGTAATGACACCAAGTGAAGGAGTGAATAAATGTGTCAGAAGTGATGGATGATGCAATCGACATTTCATATATTTCTAACACACTGGGCAGGGAAAATGTTGAAGAGGCCATTAGCTATGAAAGAGAGCAAGGCGGGGCGCTGCAGTATCAATTAGACCTCGAGTTTAACTTAGATGGTCCTCGGGGTAACATGGAAGTCGAGGTTGAATTTTTGTTTTTATTTCCCAAGAGTTGAACGTTTAGATGGAAACATGTGAATGTTGATCTAAGAATTCACATTCCTCTGACTTCGAGTGCCCATGACAGCTAAGACTCACTGTCCAGCTTGGTACTGTTGTGGTAAAAGTTCTGCTACCTCTCTTACATATGTGTGCAGGTCATGTAAATGGTGTTGCAGTACCTCATATTGACGAATTATTTGACCACATAACACTGCCCAGTTATGAACAGTAACACTAATTGAAGTCTAAGGTACAATTGCACAGTCTTGCGTCATAGAGAAGCCATTAGTACCAAATATTTAGCCCGCCAGGGTCACATGATGTAGGCCATATAACTTATTCTATATTATAAGAAATACAATGACTGCTGCGTAAAAAAAGTAATTACGGAGATCGGCTCATGCCTAGAGTAAGTCCCTGATTTTTTTTCTCAATTCCTGTTGGAGAGAACTTGTGATGACAAATTAAAGACAATTCTTCATCTGACAACTTTTCACCACAATGGCGCTTTACTCGGTCGATTATACTTTTAACTACAAACTTAAAATATAATAGCCACTAGTATCAGGTAGGAAATCTGTTGGCATTAAGTAGATAAATGCCAGTACTAGATTTAGACTTTAAGCATTAAGTAATCTTCTTCACATTATTATATCCTGCAGTACTGATCATGTCTCTGTGTTGACAGTAGGCGGGGAGCTGAGCACACGACACTGGTGGCTGGTGGGCCTGGTGTTCCTGGTGGCGGCCACGGCGGGGGTAGGGGTGGGGGTCCCCCTGGCCCTCCGGGGGGACCCCTTACAGTCCCTCGACAACAGACTAGAAACCGCCAACAAAATCCTGGCACAATATCCTCTCATAGACGGGTGAGTACACCAGTGTTGCCTTATGTTATACACCTGAACACACTTTATCACAGGTGAGTACATATGCACCTTTAGCCCCTTAAGTATGAGTACTTATCCCCTTTACTTAGCCCCACCAGTACAATGAATTAAACCCTTAAGTATGATGACTGAATCCCTTGAGTATGATGACTTAACCCTTTGAGTATGATGACTTAACTCTTGAGTGTGATGACTTATTCCAATCAGTACGATGACTTAACCCCTTTGAGTGTGATGACTTAACCCCTTTGAGTGTGATGACTTAACCCCTTGAGCACGGTGTTATTATATGAAATGAGGTTAAGTCATCGTACTTAAGGGGTTAAACTCTAGAACAATTCTCAGAAAATATATTATTATTAAATGAAAGATTCCTTGTTCTCTCTACTCTATATTAGTGACTATATGGTTTACATTGACTATTGAGGTAGTTAAAGTGATTGAGGTGATTGCAGTGGTCGAGGTGATTTAAGTTATTGAAGTGGTAATAAAATAGGAGAATCACCACCTGTAACAAACAAGCTCTAAAGTGTGTGTGTGTGTGTGTGTGTGTGTGTGTGTGTGTGTGTGTGTGTGTGTGTGTGTGTGTGTGTGTGTGTGTGCCCTATACAAAGGCGAGAAAAATGTGCCCAAATTAAGTTCATTTGCTTTCATTCTTCACTGAACCGGTTAAATAATGACTGCAGTAAATCAGAGAAAAAAAAATTATGTTTGAAAATACAAGTGAGAAAGACCGTTGGGTTAGGTTAGTTTAGGTGAGAAAGACCGCTAGTATAAAATTAATCTTTACTTTAGAAAAAGACGATAAAGTAAAATAATGTTTCGTGGGTTAGATATATTTTCTCTATTATATTTTTTCATGAGAGTTACAGCCATTAACCTTGTGTGTCCCTAGAAATAATAATAATTAATTAGAGGCTTGGGAGAGAATTAATTAATTATTGAATGATGGCAATGGGAGAACTTTTAATAAATCTAGGTGAAGCAGTTTTGGAGAGAGAGAGAGCTACGTGTGTGTGAGTAATGACAGTGGTGTTAAATTTTCTAATTGATTGACCAAAACACACACAAAAAATTAAGAGATAAGAATGGGTAACTATAGAAAACATTTAAACCTCAGTGACACAGCACGGAAGTTGGATCACAATGGCTGTGTTCGGATAATGCTGTGCTGCTAACTGTGTCAGAGGGAGAGTTGGACACAGTAGTAGAATATTTTGTTGAAAGGCCACAGGAGATCTTTTTTTTTTTTTATTGGTAAACGTTGGAAAGAGGAAAGTTTGGGTGTTGGCAGGGAGGGAGAACAGACACAACGGGATGTCAATGTACAGGGGGAAAAAGCTGAAGGTTGTGGGTAAACTAAATATAAATGCGTGAAAATAATCGACAATAAAGATGGAAATAGAAAAAAAAAGAACAAATTAGTTGCAGATTAATGAAAGGAAAAAAGAGGAGGAGGAGGAAGAGAATTAACCAATGACAGGAAGTTGAGTTGGTGGCATTAAAAAAAATGTTTACTTTATGTTTTATGTGGGGATGTGAAGCTGTGGTGGGTCAGAAGAGTGTAAGAATTGTAGCAGAATTAGGTTAGGCTCGGCTCTGTTAGGTTAGGCTCGGCTCTGTAATGTTAGGTTAGGCTCTGTAATGTTAGGTTAGGCTCTGTAATGTTAGGTTAGGCTCTGTAATGTTAGGTTAGGCTCGGCTCTGTTAGGTTAGGTTAGCGTTAGAGTGGTTAATCTTGAGACAGACTAGGCAAGGGTTAATCTTCAGGTGATCCGACATCTTTTTTACCCAGGAACAAGAATAATTGACCAGGTGAGAATACTATAACCTTTACACCTGTTCTATCACCTTTCCTTGCCTCTGATACCTGTGATGGCTATGAGATTAATTAAACGAAATTGAACTCCTAGAAGATATGTGAATGATTATAAACTTGTTAAATATGAATGAAATATAAATGACTAGAGGATGATTAGTCAAAGGTTGTCTACCAATATATATTTTGGCACAAACTTAATTCTCAGAATCAGAAAAACACAAACAAAATTTTCCTCCCTCACACAAGAATTCCTCTCTCGTGGCCGCCACAGTCACTTGTAAACACGACTCCAGCTGTGACGAAAAAGAGTGGGACATGTGTGTGCTAAGTCGAGAATGTGTTCAGTAGGAGAGAGTCTAAATTCAACGTATGACATCAGAGAAGGAAAGAGTCGTGTTGTCAGAGAACTTGGTCAAATAAGTCAACAAGAATGGGAAAGCCACCTGGAGTGTCTTTATTCCTGAGATATTTATGACCATCTCGAGTCTATAGATCCCTCCCTCACCTTCCCTATTTTATTCCTAACTCCTCCCTTCCTGCTTGTCTATCTTTTCCCTCCCTCTACCTCCTCCTACCCCTTCTTCCCTTTCCCCTCCTCTCTTCCTTTGCCTTCCCCCTCCCTTCATCTTCCCCCTCCCCTACTTACCCTCTCCTCTTGCCCAGCCCTATTTTGCTTTTCCTTTCCACTCACTTACCCCTTTGCCAACCCTCCCCCTCTTCCACACCCCCTTTCTCACCTCTCTCCATTTTCCCTTCCTCCTCTTCCTCTACATCTGCACACCAAAACAACCCCCTGTCCCAAAAGGCCTCAACCTAACCTAATTTAATCAAATCTAACCAATTATAACCTAAAATTACACAACTTATCATAACGTATTCTAACCTAACCTAACTTAACCTAACGAGCAGAATTAAGGTTCCAGTAGGATTTGTCCTTCTTAAGACTAGTGACTATTTTATCGGCACCCAGAAGAGAGAAATGAAGAGAGAAAATAAGAGTCTCAATAGAACGAGTAACATTCGTAACATTACCCCTGGGAGAAGGAAGAGAAAGAGAATAAGATGGAAATATAACAATGGAAAAAATAATCTAAGAATGAGAGAGCCAGTGGGAGGGATATAAAGGTCAGAAAGTGTGTCGAGCCGAGCCGAGTGCCAACTCATGCTCGGTGGTGCCACTCTAAATGTTGTGACTTTGACCTTGACCTTGACCTCTGGACCCTTCAAATAATTGCAGTTTCTGGGGTGGTTATGTATATATAAAGGTCAACACTTAGATAACATTTTGGATTCAATCTATGAACTTTGACCCCCTAAAATACAGCAGCTTCAGAGGTCAGAACATCACTTAAAAGTCAATGTGAATTTGACCTTTCATCACTGACTTCAAAAACATAGTCTTTCTAGGGGTAAAAATCAGAAATATATTGAGTATATGTAAAGAATAAATACAGATTCTTTCCATTCTATAATCAAGCTGCCCAGCACTCTGCATTTAATTATTTAGTGAGATATACGGAGTCATCGGGAACAAGAACAACAGAATATAACACAACCATTTAAAATAAGGAAAAACGGGATTTGACGTATTACAGTAAAAAAAAAAAGAACTATAAATTTTTAAAATCGGAAAAAATAACAACCATTTATAATCGAAAAAAAAATGAACGTGCTGTATTACCCATTAAAATCGAATAAATTAATACAAGCATTTAAAATCGAAAAAAAAAAACATTTAAAATCGAAAAATAATACCCCCAAAAGTAATAGATAACCATTTAAAATCCTGGCGTTCTTTTTCGATGACCTTATATAAACAGAGATGGCACTGATCATACACCTTGCACGACCCTGCTACTGTTGGTGATGGTGAAGTGAGGGAGGCACAGTTGGTGATGGTGAAGTGAAGGGGGTACAGTCGGTGATGGTGAAGTGAAGGGGGTACAGTCGGTGATGGTGAAGTGAAGGGGGTACAGTCGGTGATGGTGAAGTGAAGGAGGTACAGTTGGTGATGGTGAAGAGAAGGAGGTACACATTTCCCCATTTTCTTTCGTGGGAGAGAGCGAGAAGCGACGCAGGAGGGACGAAGGTAAAATACAAAGGGGAGATAAAAAAATATAATGTCTGTATGAAGGAACATTCGGAAAAGGAAAAAAAAACAGTGGTGTATAAAAATTGAAATAGACGAAGGAGGAAATAACGAGAGAGAGAAGAAAAATTACCCAAGAGAAAAGAAAAAGCAGAACCAAAAGAGATGAAAAGAAAATAATTCATGAAAGGAAAAAAAAAATAGGGAAAAAAAATCTTTGTGATAAAACATTCTAAACTGGGATGAACGTAGGACATAAAAGAAAACAAATAGAAGAAGAAAGACGGAATGAAAGAAGCTATAGAAATAAAACGAAAAAACATAAAAATATGGTTCAGTATCATGGCATGTTGTCTCCATTACATTGTTTTTTGTATTGGTGTGTTTTTTTGTGCGTGTGTTTGCTTTATGGTGTATTTCTCTCGTGTCTGGGTTATTGCGTCTGTGTTCTTTATCATTTTTTTGTTCCATCAGAAGTATTGGCCGGTCCCTCCTCGTTTGTCATCGTCTTCATAGTCGTTGTTGTCGTTTTGGTCATCGTGGTGATCGTTGTCTTTGTCATAGAGATACGAAACGTTTTAATTCATCCTTTCTGTCTCTCTCTCTATCTCTCTTTCCCCCTCTCTCTCTATCTCTCCTTCCCCCGCTCTCTCTTTCTCGTTCCCACTCTATCTATCTGTCGGTCTGTTGATATTTTCTTTAAGTATACATGGAAGAAATTTTTGTGAAATTGTTGAACACAAACCAAAAGAATTTGTATGAGAGATGAAATACAAACACACTCCAACTCAGTACAAACAATCCCCAAGACCACCACCACCACCACACTGGATTAGTTACCCTCACCTCCCCCCCTCAAACCCATCGTTCCCCTGACAAACTCCTTCTACGTAACGTGTCTTTAAGGTGATGTAAATCTTCTTTAATATAATTTTTGTTTCTACGACTTTATTCCTTATATCAACTGAATAGGTTAGGTTAGGTTAGGTTAGGTTAGGTTAGGTTTTGTGATAGTTACTCCTCCTCTCATGACTTTACTGAGAGAGTATATCACATGAGGGGATTTTT